TGTAAAAAAGGTCCAAAATAAAGTGGTTTTCCTACTTCCATTGGGTTCTTGTTTTCGATCCATCTCACACTTAACTTTTTTAGACTTGCTCAGGATTGATGCAGAAACATCACATTGAAGTTATTAAAAAGTACAACTTCTGTGGTGTTCTGGCAAAAAATTAATACAAAAGCAGATTTTGACTTTCCACAAAAACAGCAGCCCTATTAACCTATCCAGTAAAATTGTGTGAAGAAACCAGTTTGCTGTGGGTTTTTAAAAATATTCTTTGAGCAAAATATTTAGTAATACTGTGAAATAAATCCACTAGATTAAGCTACATACCTGAATGTATTCTGAATAGTTAACTAAAATAAACCACCAGTGTTAATTCCCACATCTGTACATCTCTTAAACAGTAATGTTAGATCAGGTGATAAACTTTTTGTACTTTTTATGGTCCTCATATTTCCACATGTTCACAGGGCTTCCTTTGCAGAACTGGATATATGTGCCATATCTACTACTCAGTAAGATTCATGAAAGTACCATAAAAAACTAAAGAGACACAGTAATTGTTATGCAAACTAGGGATCAAGAGAAAAATCCCTTATAAAATAATTCAAGCAGAAAATGACAGTAGAACATAATTTTTAAGAATAAATTTTAAAAATCTAATTTTAGAACAAGCAGTTCCAAAGCCAACACCACTGTCAGGTACCTATGAAACAGTAACTCAAGAACAATTCTCAAGAAAGGTATTTTAGTCTGTAAGAAATTCTGAAGGCTAACAGTGGTATGTCAGTTTCAAAAGCTTTTGGAAGTTTTTTTCCAACTTCAAGTTCTCTGTGTATTTTTTACATGGCTTGAAGCAGTCCATCCACTAATGGTGAACAACATAAAGAATCACAAACAAAAGGACTAGATAAGCATATTTCATTTACATGACTCATCCATTCTGATAAGTGTAATTTTGGAGATCAGAAGGAACCATACTCATTCCTTTTGTCTAGCCCCTTTCTCTTCAATATTCACTATAACACCATGCATTAGACTGTCCTCAATAACAGATCCAGTTCCTGCAAATGGTTGTATTAAAAGTACAGAAAGTCGGCAGAAAATAAACCCCGCTGTTCCTGCGTTTTTTCTCCTATGTAACAGAGTTTTGGAGAAAAGATCCACAAGCTTCTCTTTCCTCCTTGAGAGGCCTCAACAGTTTAGCAGTGACAGAAGTAACAGAGGGGAGAAACACGGTGGCCACAAGTAGGATCTTCAGCCATGCTACAGAAGCTGGTACTTTAATAGTGGAAAGTACATTAACCAATGCTACTAAAAAAAGTATTCATCATCTTAATTTACAGATAATTCTCAGCATATAACTGAATATAAAAGTGGCCAGCAAGCAGTGTGTCAGCTGGAAAAAAATTAGTGTATCAAATTTGCTTTCTTGCTACAGTAATTCCTTCTACTTAATTCAGTGCAGCATCCTGGCTAGTTTTAGGCACGCCAAGGGTGGACAGGTGACCACTGCACACAGGGACCGCTTTCCCCCCACACTATTACCCCCATGAATCCAGTAAGGAGAACAAGTAGACTGAGGGTCTTGGCTGTGCATTTGGCTCCTTCAGCTCCTGCCTGGAAGGTGCCACACTTGTAAGTAGTAGAAGAGTTCACAGTAGATGAGGCAAACTCAGAGCAATGCTGATTAACCAGAAAGAGGAGTTCTGGCTAAGATGAAGTTTCTGGAGACTGCCCATATGCAATGACCAAGAAATTTCCCACACAGTGCAAATGTAGGTGTAAAACTGTACCAAAAACTACTGACCTCAACTCGTCATCCAGACTCTGAAAAGCAATGCAATGATCCTACTCTCAAGGTATCCAAGTCCTTGAGACATGTCAATTGCTGCTCTCCTGTCCACACCTATTTTTTCATTGTTTTTTTTTTTTAATTGCACAAACAATAAAGTCTTTCTAGGAACTAAGATGTCCTGAATTGAACTGAATTCTAAGAGAATCTGTCTGATTCTGTTAGAATTGCTTCTCAGCTTCACCAGTGCTCATATACTCAAAAATGGCTGCTCTTATTGCTATTACTAGATCACGCTGGAAAATGAGTGCTTCTTTTTTTTTGCTCTTTATCTTTACTGCACTTCAGATCCCCTACCCAAAACATAAATTGATATACTCCTGGATACTTGAACCTTCACAAGCTAGTATTTCTTTTTACATTACAATTTTTCAAGTTATCCAGCTATAACATTGTGATTATGCACTTATACTCCACCTGCAGGCTCTTAATTAAGGTGCTATGAATGAATGAATCCTTTTCCCCCCACCTCATAGCTTCCTGACTACTGCTGAGGAAATCAAAGTATTTTGCATAAACCCCGAAAATATAAATGAAAATAAAAATTAAAATCAATGCTTTGCTGCTCATTTTCTCTTGATTGTGTGCTCTGAAAAGCATTAGAAAGATACATTTTAAAGTACTACTTCACAGAATTTAGACCTGGACCATATAGTTCATAAACATTATTTTGCTAGCTTACATGATCACTGCTTTTGCAATTCTTTAATACTTTATAAAAACATTTCACTGGGTTTGCCAGGACTCTCCATCACATTCCCCAATTTGTTCAATTATCAAGTAAAGTTTCAGTCTGCAAACTCTTACAAGTAATTGACTTTTCTAGCAGGTTTTATCAAATTATAGTTTTTAAAAAGAGGCATCAGAAGAACTGGACGGGAACAATAAAAGGAAAAGTGCTCTCCTGCAGCAGGCAGGAAGAAGCATAAAGTAGGAGCGTGCTCTGTTGTGGGGCACTGTCTCCGCACCTTCCCCTTCCGCAGGGCTCCCTGCTCAATTGTCACCCTGGCACACTGACCCGGCAGCACAGGACACCAGCGGGATGCACACCTCGCCTACGCTCCCAGGCTGGAGCACTCTGAACATTCCTGGCCATGGAAATGCCACCTGAAGCCCAGACTGAGGATTGTAGCAGCACGGCCCTTCCCGCAGTTGAGCCATCTCAGCTCTGCTGAGAAAAAGGGAAGGAAGGGGCAGGAGCAATCATCAACTATGCCATCTTCTTCACCACTGCATCTCACAGACAGTTAGAGCACTTGATGGGTGACATGGCAGAACCACAAGCCATTAATCACAGCAATATTTTCACATCAGAATGTTTAAATTTACAGCAACACAGGTTTTCAGAGACTCAGTGCCCAGAAATTTAGTGATACTGTCTGTATCATGCTTAATTCCATTATTCTGCTTGAAAAAGAACTTGGACTTTGAACAAAAAGATGGAAATAAATCTCTTCCCTTCTGAAAATTAAAGTAAGTGTTATACCAATTAACATCTCTAACACCACAATTCATAGGGCCCATATTCAGACCTAGAAATTTAAAACTTCCCAACATTCACTACACATTTTATACATGTCATATAATGGTGGGTACAGTCTGCAAAAAGGTAAGCAGTTCATATTTCTTCCCTGAGGCAGGTTTGAAGTATATGTAGATGTTTTTAAGAACAGGTTAGACACTATTCAGTTAAGATTTCAAACCCTTTCTAGCTGCCCTGCTCCAGTGCTCAAGTACACTTAAAATTTTACCTAAAACCTGACCCAGATTTTCATTTTTCCAAATTCAGTTTAATACTTCTTTATTAAAGATACCAAAAGCAATTTCTTTTCGGATCTGTAGCACCTTCTCCTATTCTTAAGTTTACTATGAGGTAGGTTATTCCTTCCTTTCTTCCTTAATTACTCTCTTTCCTAGAATAAACTAGATCTTTCAAAAATAAGGTTTGTTCTTAAATGTCTCATTCTCACATAGATCTAGCAGAACATTAATCTGTATTTCCAGGTGCTAGCAACTCTTCACTTAATTGATCTCTCTCCCAAAAGCTAATATTAAACAAATGCACTTTGCTATCTCAATTACTTTGAACTGTTTTAATTTCATCTCCTAGTCTAACACTCCACTTTCGTTTTCTTCCCGCTTATATGGCCTATCATTCCCTGAACTCTGCTATCTCTAATGTACTTGGCCACCCTTATCTCTTCCAGGCAAGCTTTGAGTGACTACGTATGTCTGGTTGCTTCTCCACACATTAAGATGTTTTTCAGTTGAACTACTAAAATTCCCTACAAGATTATTTTTTAAACCAATCACTCTTTCATGGAAATCCCCACTATTTGAAAGCTGCAATATTCCACATTAGGCTGCAACCTGCTGTTTAACCAGTGAGCTGTATCACTTTTCTTTAGCTTGCATGCTGTTGCTTTTAGGGTTTTGGGGTTTTTTTGAAGGGGGAGATATGTTCTAATATGAATACAGACTAGTATATTGTCTTATTTTCAATAAGAAAACATGAAAGCCCAATTAAGCTAGGTGTGAACAATGACTGACATCTTAAAGGCGGAATAAACTGAATTTTTTTTAATGAGTACTGGAAGGGGTGAAGAGCAAATGTGCTCCATGAGGCAGGTCACAGAATCGAAGCCACAAGCCCTAACGACAGCAGTAATGGAAATCTGTGGTGAAAGTTCCCAAAGCTGGTTTTTACAGACACTAACGAGCATCTTTTGGTAGACACAGATAAACAATGAATGCATATGGAGAACGAACCATCTTCCCTCAAATGTCTGATGCCTTCTTGAACTCAAGAAAGGCAACGACAGCCTGGCCATCTGAACAACACGTGCTGGGTTTTCTTCAATCCAATCCCAACCCAAGCTGTTTTAGTGTTCAATATGAATGCACATAATGACAACGGCCCAAGTGCTGTTATTAGCATAGGGAATTCTCTAGATTAATCACTCTGAAAAAATGGCAGAAGATCTGAAGCTGGTTTATGCTGTCTACAGGAAAACAGCCTAGGCTTGATGCACGGTATAGATAAAGTTCCACATATTCATTAATGCCAGCTATTATAAAGCATGACCCCATTTGCTTTTGTTAATAAAAACATTCTATGCTTCCACATTTTATGTGCTACAAATATACTTACATCTTTTGCCATGTTACCAAAGACTAAAAACCAGTCGTCTTAAAATCTTGATGGCTGCAGGACACAGGGACAATGCTATTTTCTGGAAAGCAGAAAGCAAAGACAGCACCAGCTATAAAAAAATGAAAGGAGGGAAAGTTTTTACAATTGAAATTATTGAATACTACCAAGTACAATTTAGGTTTCTTTTTGAAAAAAAACACGTTTTTAAAAAGGGAAAAGTTTCCCATCATCACCTTTTCGTCCCTTGAGCCCACGCTCACGTGTGGGGGGCACTCCTTTCCCGACGGCGGGGGTGAGCCGTGCCCCGGCAGAGAGCCCTTCCCCCAGCCCGTGCCCGATCCCACGCGAGGCCGGTCCCTGTCCAGCTGCGCCCCTTCCAACACCGAGCGCTGGGCGCGGGCAGCGATCACGGCCTCCTCCTCCCCACCCCCATTTCCAGCAGCAGGCACAAGTAGGCCCCAGGGGCAGCTCCCCCCGGGGCCTTCCAGCCCCGCTTTTCTCCTCCTCCTCGCAGGCGGACGGGCCGCGGCCGCACCGGGCGGCACAGACCGCCGGCCGCCCCTGCGCCTCGGGCACCCCGCGCCCGCCCGCGCCCCCCGACCGGGGCCTCACCGCCCGGGCAGAGCCCTGAGCCCCGCGCCGCCTCCCCCCGGCAGCGAGGGGCCGCGCTAATCGCCTCGGCGGCGGCGGGGGCGCGGACAAGGGGGGACGCGCCCGGCGGCACCGCCGGCGGCCGCGGGGGGAAGGGGCGGCGGGCGGAGTGCGGGTCCGCGCCGTCCCCATCCCCATCGTGCCCGACCCGCCGCCGGCGGCGCCCCCCGCCGCCGTCCCACGCAACCCCCGGTGCTCCCATCCTCGGGCGCGGGCTGCCCGCACCTGAGCGGCCGAAGGCAGAGAGAGCCGGCTCCATCCCCCGCCGCCGCCCCGAGACAGGGACCCGGAGCGCGGAGCGGGAGCGCCCGCCGCCGCCGCGCTGCTGCCGCCGCTTCTGCTGCTGCCGCTGCGGAGGCGCCCGACTGCACATGTGCGGCGGCTGCGCGGGCCTGGCGGGAGGGGGCAGGGGCGGGGGGAGGCGGCGGGACACCGACATCGGCAGCCCGGGAACAGGGGAGGGAAGCGAGGAGGGAGGAGAGGGCACCGGCAGGGACCGCCTTCCCCCCCGCGCTCCGGGGGAGGGGGTGCAGGCAGAAGAGGCGGCGGGGCAAGAGGGTCTCCCCCGGCGGGCTGTCACTTCCCAGCGCGCCTCTGCCCCCGCCGGCCGCCAGTCCGCCGGGCTCCCGGCCGGCCGCCCCCGCACGCCGTGGCCCCGCACGCCGCGGCCCCGCACACCTGCCCGGCGCCGCTGCCGCCGAGGGGCTGCCGGCGGGAATGGGGGCGATGCGGGTAAACGAGTGGGGACGAGCGAGGCAGCGATCTCCCCCCACCCTCCCACGGACCCTGCGCGCGCGACCCCGCCACTCTTCCCCCGTCTCTTCTTTTTTCTTTTTTTTTTTTTAATAAAATTAAAAAAAAAAAAAATTGAAACTTACACTTTTGTGCGTCCCCCTGACGCTGCGCGCTGACGTCACGGGCGCGGCGCGCCTCGCACGGGCACACGCGGAGCGGCCAAGCCAACCCGCCCGCCCGCCGCTCCAAGGCGCGGAGGGAGCCGGCGATGGAGCATGCGCGGGATTTTCGCGCCTTCTTCCGACTCCCCGCCCGCCCCGCGGTGCCGCGCGGTGCCCGCGGGCGCGGCCGCGCTGCCGGCGCGGAGCGGGACCCGGCGGGGCAGGGCCGTGCGGTTTCGTTGCCACAACATCCTGCTGCCAGCGCTTCCTCATCGCGTTTTGTCCGGCCGTTACTCGAGCGAAGTTTCGCTTGCAGCGATCGTTGCTAAAATTAGGGATTTTGTGGTAATCCAAGCGAAAGTTTTCCTTCGGGCGGTTGCAGATCTTAACCTTGCGCCCAAAACTGAAGTACCTCTGGGCGCTGCAGCCCCTGCGTGCAATATCGGCCGCAGGAACAGAGCATCTTAGCGAGGGTTATGTGATGAAATTACATCATTGTCCTGTAAATTTCGGGGAAAAAGCAACCCCAAAACCTGCCGCGTTGCTGGGAGGCTGCACAGGCAGAGCCGTTATAGGGGAAATTGCAGGACAGCGAGGAAAGCTCTAGAGTCGTGTTGCTCGTAGGGTGGATGCAAGGCTGTTCGATGGGGAGGAAGCTGCACACAGTTCTGCACTCAAGACCATGCCTGCACGGTACAAGGTTGCTCATAACGCAACGAAGAGGGGAGCAGGAAGTAAAAGGCTCGTTCTTTCGCTAAATTCATGCTGCTTCCTGGGAAAGAAGACTAGCTGGGAATAGAACACACGACCACAGAGCCGCTACATTGCAGCAGCAGGCAAATCCAGCAGAGAGCATGCTGGAGATGTATTTCACAAGTCGACGAGATTCGCATTCACTTTTACACCTCTGTGTTGTTTTTTTTTTTTTTTTTTTTTTTTTAAGACGTTGAATTTTTGTGCTTTACAATAGTAATGAAACACTACGTTAATTTTCCTGATAAATAGCAATCCTCGGAGGTTTTTATTAACAATACCGCCCCCCCCCCGCCCCCCGTGCTACTCTAGGGTTATTACCCCATTTCTTCATTCCTCTTCATTAAGCTTGACAGCAGTGGCATCCAGAAAAGAAGGTGATAATGAAATTGTATTTGTAACATAACTTTTTAGAAAGCAGCAAAAACTTTCACACGCAAACCCCATAAGCCAGCTTCAGAAAAAAAAAATTGCTTCCTGAAAGACATCTCCAGTTGATAGTGCCGCTCTCCACCCTCCAGGTCATATATGCTGTGCCTAAGGGTTCAAACCGTCTCTGTATCCCACGTCCCTACCCACCTCCCGCTCTTTTGTTTTACATTAATTCTTTCAGGAAAAACACTTGCGAGTCAACAGAACAAGCACAAACAAGGAGTGTCCTAGTTTGCTAGAATTTATTTTGATACATACTAACTGCCCAAACACGCCCAACTCTTGGGTAGTGGGTTTTTTTTTTCCTTTAGCCGAGGGTTGTTCGCAATTAATTTGAAGTGTTTGTACCAGTGAAAAAACTTTCAACACTTCTCTAATCTCTGAGCACACCTTTTGCAGGTATTTTGGAGCTTTAGGATTTAGTTTGTGATAGTAGTGGTGGGAGGCTATTCCACTTCACAGTTTCCTGGGGAGTGTCTCTCCCTTTTAAGGGTGCACGAAAAGCAGAACAGATCGAGCATCAGTGAGGCAGGTCTGCGTGACAGATGCAAGGAAATTGTCTCAAGAGGTTATAGAGTCTATAGGCAGAAAGTTTCAACAGATGCCAGAGGAAATGCACACGAACGGGGAGCCATGCAATCTGAACACTGTGATCTGTGCAAACTCATGACTTAATTAAAGACCTAGTGCCACCTGACCACCTTGTCAGCATCGGGCCTCGTCGGGAGGTACCATCTCCCAATTCTCAAATTTCTACTCTATTTTAGGAAATAAAAAATACAGCTTGGTACCATAACTGAAAATTTTACTCCTCTGATGTAGGTTTTTCCCACAAGGCAGGATCAGTTATCCCTAAGTCACTCTTGTCACAATGTTGTCCAGTTTGTTGTCTCCAGCCAGCAGAAGGTTTTCCTAGTCCCGTTGTTTTTAGTGTCAGTAAGTCCAACCCGGCAGAGGTAATTACTCAGCAGAGGCAGTGGGAAAACCCAAGGAGCAAATCTCTTGGGCTACTGAGTGAAGTTGGTAGAGACATGCCTTTCCCTTCTACCTTTAGGGGTGGAGTGGGCTACACTCCTCCCAGCTCTAAAGACTGTTTGTCCTTCTCCCTGCAGTAATTGTGTTGGCTCCCTCACTGTCAAGTCATCAACACTGGATGTCTGATACTTTGCTGCTCCTTACAAGCTATTGCATTTCCCACAAAATAGCAACGCTGTTAGTGTGGCTTGCCTCTTGTCATTCAGGGATCCCGTTTCCTCCACCTTTGGCATTGCCCACATGCTGGAACACTGCCAGGACTGGTTACTGAGCAGAACTATGGATTCCTTCCCTAGACAAACCCCAGGAGTGCTTTTGTGGTTAGATTGTTCCTGGGTTTGTTCCAACAGGCAAGACCACACTAGATTTCTCACCCTCTCCATCAAGCATCATTGTACAGCAATATTCTGTCATACAAGGCACCCCCACATCTTTCTGCCTGCAAAGTTGAGGATGTCCAATCATAAAACAAGTGAAGTACAAGGCTTTGTAGGGCTTTTCCTCATATTTGAGAATTATAGGAAGTATAAATTCTTAGAACTTTTAAAAGGCTATGTAGTGCCATGGACTTAGTCCACCATCACCACATTCTTGAGCCATCCCAGACCTACATCAGTCACAATTTCAGGAAACCACCTCACAGCCCCCACAAATACCTTCCTACTGACAAACTGAAGCCACCTGCTCTGTATGGGATAAGCCACAAGTAGGGTGGTTGTGGGTCCATACCTACCAGTCTGATCCCAGGGCCAGGGAAATGGCTCACAAAGCACAGCCCACACTACCACCTTTTAAACTACTTTGGTTCCTTTATCTTCACAGAATTATCAAGGATAGCAATTAAGGGGTAACACACAAGAACTCAAATTTTCAGAAAGCCATGCCAAATAAGCACAGCTAAATCCACCTACAAAAGAAATGAAACAAACCAACCCCCCCCCCCCCAAAAAAAAAAAAAAAAAAAAAAAAAAAAAAAAAAAAAAAAAAAAAAAACAAAAAACAAAAAACAAAACAAAAATCAAAAAACCGAATCTCAAACCCAGAACAAGTTAGCTGAATGAGTTGCAAGTCAAGCATAGAGCAGGCCTCCCTTTTCACTCCCTTAAGTTCAGTTTGACTATAGGAATATCCTCTCATCACTTAATGAGGCTTCTGCTTTGTATCAGCTTTTCTGCATTAAAATGGTACTGATCATTAGTTAATGAATGAGATAGAACCACTGTCCAACAAGCTGGAACAAGAATTTCCAGAAAAATGCCTTCGTTTTTCAAGAAACCTTCAACAAATCACTAGATTTTCCTTTCAGGGCTTCTGGAACTCTGCTTTAATTTTATCTGCTTGACACAGAAAGAGAATATTCCACAGTACAAGCATAAGGTTTCTGAAAAGCTCCAATTATATCTAAGTGGGCTGGTTATGCAATATTCTCCCCATTTTTCATACAGAAATGAGTGATCATTCAGGAATAAGGTCTGTTGTTTCTGTCCTAAGATCATATCATGAGACTACCCCATCTGGACATGGAATTATGCATGGAACCATTATTGGCATTTCAGGAAACATTTACAGTATCTCAATATACCTCTAGATTTCTACGAGGCAATCTCAAATGTCTGACTGCAAACAAGCTTACCATACGTCTGTAAAGATTACTAATTTGCACCTACATCCAATATTGAACCAGGCAATCCAAATCTGTGTCAACAAAGAAGCACAGAACACCGGTACTCACATAAGCCTATTTCTCTCCCCCCAGTTCTCCTAAATCCTAGCCAAGTTGTCCTGGTTTTG